GCCCTCTCCTCCTGTCCTAGCCGCCCTGAACAACCACACCACACTAGTCGCCGGGAACGACCATGCCAGCCGCCGGGACCAGCGGGGATGGACCATTGAAGCCGCCGTGAGGGAGCAGCAAGGCCTATCTCCGGGTTTCCAGTCGACCTCTCATTCCTCCATCAACCTCTTCCGTGTAACCGGCGGTGCTTGATTTCTGGGACGGCCAACGGCGCTTGATTTTTCACGGCCGGCTGGCGGCGCTTGACATCTTGGGTGGCTGGGGCCGAACAAGATCAGGCCATTTACGGTGAGCATGCTGGCCAACGAGGTGCAGGGATGGTAATCAATTCCTTTACCTGTCGTGAACCAAACAAACTTGAAAAAAAAAACTCATTACACCTTCTTAAACGGTGTGATCTGATTACGTTAACATTACCATTACCATTTCTGCAGCCAAACACCTCCTTAGAGCTATGGAAAACATGTTTTACAGTACCACCTTTTACAATATTTGATAGAGATGTTGTAATGTGTCCTGAGCGTGCGATCTACCCTTATACCACTGCCTTTCTTCAAACTCTCGGGTTTCTTGCAGCTTTGGCGGCCGCTTAGCCGCCCTTCGGACCGCGACGCCATCTCCGCCTTCATCGCCGACCTTCGCTCGATGGCCGTCCGTCTGTCGCCACCACCGCCGCCGCCGGAACCAAACTAGGCGCCGTCTCCTTCCGGTTTTTCCTGGTTTTTATTCCTGGGCTTGTTGAGTTGTGCCCTCAGCAGAACCTTTGTACCTTGTTGTGAGACTTGAATGTGTGTGTGAACTTGATTTTGTATGTGTACTTTTTGACGGTTTGCTTTATTTATAAAGCGGGGCGAAAGCCTTTTTGGTATACCACTGCCTCTCTCTTTGATTACGATTCAAAATTTACAGTGTTGCCGGTATGCGCGCCCTTGACGCTCCCGTCTCCTCCCGCTCTCGCGATCTGGGGCGCAACTAGAATACCTGTGATGTCCCTAGCCAGAGCTAGAAAGATCACGGGAGGAACAAGGGGAAAAGTAGCAGTTGACCGAGAACGAAGGAGCTTGGGCAGCTCAATTTCATTCATTAATTCGATAGTGCATGTTGGGAGGTTACAGGAGTACTTAAGCATTACCCTTACAGCCGGGCTCCACCGGGACTCACACACGCACGCTTACAGATACGTCATCGGCCGATGGGCCTGCCCTGTCACACACCGCCTTGTCAGTAGGTGGGGTGTGACAATACCCGATCCCCTTCGTTCTCCCCACCCCTCCATTGTACTAGACTAGTAGAGTGCCCGTGCGTTGTTACGGGCTCTTGAAATAGTTTGTAAGAGTTACATGTTAACTTTTTAAGGCCTTTCCCCGTCGTAGATCCAGACCCCCGCCATTGATTCCAACCCGCCTAGGCTGCCGCCGCGCTGCCCCATCGCGTTCGCCTCTGCTCCGGCTGCCTCCGCCCCGCTCCGACCCTGCCCGTCTCCTCTCCGGCCGCCTCCGCCTCCGGTCCATCCTTCGCCCAGGCCCGCTCCGTCCGCCTCCTCTCTGGTCCGTCCGCCGCCCCGCTCCGTCCGCCTCCGCCCCGCGCCGCATGCTGCCACCCCGCTCCGACTGCCTCTGCCCAACGCCGCATGTCGCCATCTCGCTCTCCGCTCGACCGTCGCTCGCTCCCCGATGGCGCCGAAGAAGATGCCGAAGGGCAAGTCCGGTTTCTTCGGCATGAGGGCGAAGCCCTCCGGGAACTTCGGACTGGAGTTTTCCGACGCCGGGCAGCGTTGGTGGCTCGGCACGTATCCTACCGCCAATGAGGCCACGCGTGCCTACGACATGGCGGTGTGGCGTGCAGGACGGCCGAAGACGGACCTAAACTTCCCGGAGGTCGAGTCCCAGGCGGTGGCGGAGTGGCTCGTGCCGCAGGGCATCCGGATGGAGGAGATGCGGGCTAAGAAGGCCAAGAAGAGACCGGCAATTGTTGTCGCTCCCGGCAGTAGAATGCCCGTGCGTTACTACGGGCTACAATCCATACAAATAAATCACACAAATGGTCATATCCAAGGTCAAATCTTATTTCTCTCTCATACGTCCCAACATGTTAGGACATTAAGTGAGCTCCCCAAAATTTAACCGTCTGAATACTCCGGATGCCCCCAAATCCAACCCATATGTTATCCCAACATGCGGTCCCAACACGAAAACCCCACCCCGCGACGTACACTTCTCTTTCCTGCCTTACCGCTCAGTTCCCGTCTTAGCAGGACATTTCTCGTTGGGGCCTTCTCCTTACCGAAAAAGGCTTTCGCCCCGCTTTATATATAAAGCAAACCTCCACAGAGCATACAAACAGAAGCAAGTCCACACACACCCACCCAAGTCTCACGGCAAAGTATAAAGATTCTGCTGAGGGCACAGCTCAACAAGCCCAGAAAATAAAAAAGAAAACAGAACACGCCGGACAAAGGAAGCCTCTAGTCTGGATCCGGCGGTTAAATTCTCCTTTAAAACCGGATAACGCTCACCTCATCTTCGCCATGGCGCCCTCTCTCTTTCACGCGATACTAATGGACCGCTCGCTCATGCAGTTTGCTGCAAAGAATCTCACAAGAAATGTTATACATATGTCACATTGGTTCACTATCCTATCTATGATGCCGTGACAGTAGTTTAGAAACTCTCCTAGCACTCGAAATACCGGCAAAAAAATCTCCAAATATATAGCAGCCGCAGGTACCATGAAATAGGACACTAAACAACATTTGCCACAAGCAATCAATTTATGCACCAAGCACACTGAGCAGAAGCAACAAGCTATCAAGATTTCTTCTACTCACAGAACTAACAAATGTGACTAACTCTGTAAGAAGCTCTGCCTTCAAAACCTAAAAATGGTAGAGTCCCATCACTACTTCAGCTGCTCTCTGATCTCAATAGAAAACATGGAGATCGTCTAAAAAACATAGTACACTTCGGCTGCACTTAAACAAGCTTGCTAAAAAGAAACTTCTTAGGTGATGGAAGAAAATATAAGTAACTTCCACTTGACAGTCGCATCATTTGAATATGAATTTTTAGTTAGCATGGCAACTGAAGTGAGTCTATTGATTAAATTACATAGTTTATTGTTAAATGGTAAACACGGATTTAGAAGAGTTGCCAATGCCCATCTGTCAAATATGCTACTGTATACTTATGTGAGCTGCCAATGATCATCATCATCTGTCAAATATGCTACTGTATACTTATGTGAGCTGCCAATGATCATCATCACTACTGTATACTGTTGTATACTTATGTGAGCTGCCAATGCTCATCTCAAGATAGGATTATATACCCAAAAGACCAGACCTTATATGGGCATTATTCTACAAAACAATTTCAAAAGGCTCACCATGTATCCACTGTATAAAAGAGCTCTTTTTCCCTACATCGGCAAGTTAATACTTTGATCTCTACCAACTGGAAGCACAGACAACTATATTTAAAAATAGGGACATCTGCTATCTTCATGAGTAAATAAACAGTAAAAAAGTAGAGGACCAAAGCCAAATATTTTCATGAATGTTACAGATCATTTTTGTTAATGTGTAAGTACATCAAGCATGTTCTAACAAGCAGGAAAATTGTAGAAACATACAGATGATGGGCACTTCCTAATTCCTAGCTATCATGGAATCACTGCATGATGCATTGCACTGAGCACCTTCTGTGTGATATGGAGATGGGCAGAGGCAAAGATCAAGGAATTAAAATTCGAAAAGAATAAATAAGCTGTCAGTAAGCCAATAAAAATCGATAGAGAAAAAATAAATAAGTTTACTTCAGTAAGCCGATAGGGATCGACACATTTGGAGACATAACTACCACAACAAAGATTCCATCGTTGTAATAATAGCCTTAGTGCTGACTTATACTCCTTAAAATATGTCTCGGGCATTTTCTTCAAGTACCTTGTAGGCAACAACAATGACAATGATTCTAGGGAATGAAATTCTCTCGCAACACAACCTGACTTGTATATACTGATTGTAAATTCACCTAGCTGTATGAAAATCAAAACCAATCGTTACATAGGTTATCCAAAGAATTGATAAACATACTTTAAGAGAAAAAGTGTTTTAACCTGAACTTCCAAGAAATCATCAAAGGAGAAGTGGCTTCCCTCCCATCAATAAACTTCCAGGTGAACAGGACAAGCACGACCATGGAGAATCATACCTGAATACCTGAATGGAGAGTCATAACTGTCCTGGAAATAGCACATCTCTTTGTCCCTCCTATATTCTTCAATCACATCAGAATACTAAAATTGACCATACATCGTTTTGAAGAGAACAAAAATGATCGATCAAACAATTGGTCTAATTCAAAACTTTGTGTCCTTCATTCTCCAATGGTGGAGGCACATGGTGTTGACGGCGAGATCAGCTGGGGAAGTCGCGGTGGCACCGCGTGCTCTTTGATGGCTGGAACAACAGCAGCACGAGCTGTTGTTGGTGGTGGCGGCGGTACTTCCTCTTTGATGACTGGAACTGTGGGGTAAGTTGTAGGAGTAGGAGACGGAGACTTGGAAGTCCACCCTTGGTTTGATGATCCAGGAGAACAAGGCGACTCTTGTTGTCGAGCCGGCTCGCAGGGCTGAACCTTTGCACATACTGCATTATTCTGCTGATGATCTAAAACAGTAGGATATGATTAAGTAGCAGTTTGAAATAGGAACAAATTACAGTTGCTCATGATTCATACCTGGCATTGGCAGAGGCTTTGACTCATCGAATGGGAACTCGGAGCCCTTGAGAACGTACTCTGTTCCTTGCGTGAGCAGCAGCAGATCATCCACAGATAGATCGTGCCACACGAATCCAGTCTTGTAGCTCCTGCATTGCATCGATGCCTTACGAATAAACACAATATTTGTCGGATAACAGACAGGTCTCGAGATTGATGGGTATATGTATGTACATACCTCTTGCAGGACCAGGAATACTTGGCCACCATGCCCTTCCCTCTCAGGGCGTCCAGCCGGCCAATCACATCTGAATAAATTGCAATCATTCATGGTAAGTCATCATCCTACAATAAACTACTGATCAGGCACCAGTTGCAGCTTACTAACTAACCTCGCAGGTAGAGGCCTTGTGGGGAGGCGAGGGTCACCTCCATGAAGTGTGGGTGCTCTAGGTGGTGGCTGCGGCAGAGGTGATACACCACCGCCGCCCTCATCCCTGGCCCATGCCTCTTGGTCGTCGGTGGCGGCTCTGGCTCCACCCTGACTGCCTTGGTGCGCATCCCGGACGGGCTGGCGCGCCGCCTCGCCCTCCCCTCCATCGCTCTTCGTGGATCCTCCGACTATAAGGGTGTATGTGTGTGTATGTACAGTCTGATCAACCTACACTGCAGACATTATCAGAAATAGCAGTCAGTGACCAATCAGTCTGATCCTCCTCTGTCTCTCTTATCTATAGTAGAGTGCCCGTGCGTTGCCAAGAACAATACATGTATATATATCAAGTTCACAGAGGCAATAGAACAAATTATCTATAGTTTCCTTGTGCTCTAGATTGTAGGTTCATCACAGGTGCAAGATAAGAGATTAAATTGCTTTGAAAAATATAAAGATAGCAAATGAAAAAATCAGCCGCTGCCTACCGGACTCAGGTTGGCAGCATACAAACATATATACAGACCATGAATGTACTATGACTTCAGAAGAATATATATTAATCTGCCATATTGTAGGGAAACAAATCTAGAGCACAAAGTAGAGAGATACACATGTAACACACGTGCATGATATAACATTACCTGAATGTGACAAAATATAATTGTATTTTCTAATGGAACAAAATAGAGTTGTGGGCATTAACACTGTATCTGGGCATGGTACTCAAGATGCTTCTTTATTTTTTGTTCTTATTACATCATGTACACTTCGAAGAGAGGCGCCGACTCTACAACTTTTCAAGCATCAAACTATATAAGAGTAATTACCCATGCATTTTGCCACTGTTTGTTAGAAATACATCACATCAGAGATGCAGAACCCATTTTCTCTTAGGTCAATAACAAACATTAAACCTTCGAGACGGGATTAGCAATTCCGTGGAACATTAACTTCTCCCACTGGTACAATACACTCTTCAATTTTGATGCTTATTTTAGCAGCATGGTAAATGCCATTTGCTGCTTCAATACACTATATATGCATGGTTATGCAAATCAAAATTGAAAGATGGACTGCTGCAGAAGTGTAGAAAACATGCATGGTGGTGCTGTAAGAGTGAATACTTATTTATGAGATAAATCGTCATATGAGCTGATACTGTATAAATTAGGAAGACAAAATTGAACTATGCACCATTGAAAGACAAATTATGAAGTCCACATTTTTGCTGAGACATATAGCAGATTTATATTAGCATTCAACATCTATTCACAGAAGACAAAAAAGGTCAGTCGATTTGCAAAGCACACATCGGCGTTTCTATGATGATCAATTCTCAGGGTAAAACTAACGGTAACATGCCTCTCATTATTATTTTTGTTAGAGAAGAAGTTACATTTGCTACGTACTAAACTTGTTGGGGTTCCAGACCTTGGGTTATCTGAAGTGTGGGTAACTTGTAGAGGTTAACAGCATGGACATCATTCCTATTTGAGGCACGAGCAAAAACTTGTCAGAATGCAAGTATCCAGGTCATGTATCCCGTTGTTTCTGCTTCTGCAATGAATATCAGAGTGTATTGCAGGGCTGAACCTTTGCACATACTGCATTATTCTACTGATGATCTGAAACAGTAGGATATGATTAAGTAGCAGTTCGAAATAGGAACAAATTACAGTTGCTCGTGATTCATACCTGGCATTGGCAGAGGCTTTGACTCGTCGAATGGGAACTCGGAGCCCTTGAGAACGTACTCTGTTCCTTGCGTGAGCAGCAGCAGATCATCCACAGACAGATCGTGCCACACGAATCCAGTCTTGTAGCTCCTGCATTGCATCGATGCCTTACGAATAAACACAATATTTGTCGGATAACAGACATGTCTCGAGATTGATGGGTATATGTATGTACGTACCTCTTGCAGGACCAGGAATACTTGGCCACCATGCCCTTCCCTCTCAGGGCGTCCAGCCGGCCAATCACATCTGAAAAAATTGCAATCATTCATGGTAAGTCATCATCCTACAATAAACTACTGATCAGGCACCAGTTGCAGCTTACTAACTAACCTCGCAGGTAGAGGCCTTGTGGGGAGGCAAGGGTCACCTCCATGAAGTGTGGGTGCTCTAGGTGGTGGCTGCGGCAGAGGTAGTACACCACTGCCGCCCTCATCCCTGGCCCATGCCTCTTGGTCGTCAGTGGCGGCTCCGGCTCCACCCTGACTGCCTTGGTGTGCATCCCAGACGGGCTGGCGCGCCGCCTCGCCCTCCCCTCCATCGCTCTCCGTGGATCCTCCGACTATAAGGGTGTATGTGTGTGTATGTACAGTCTGATCAACCTACACTACAGACATTATCAGAAATAGCAGTCAGTGACCAATCAGTCTGATCCTCCTCTGTCTCTCTTATCTATAGTAGAGTGCCCATGAGTTGCCCGTGCGTTGCCATGAACAATACATGTATATATATCAAGTTCACAGAGGCAATAGAACAAATTATCTATAGTTTCCTTGTGCTCTAGATTGTAGGCTCATCACAGGTGCAAGATAAGAGATTAAATTGCTTTGAAAAATATAAATATAGCAAATGAAAAAAATCAGCCGCTGCCTACCGGACTCAGGTTGGCAGCATACAAACATATATACAGACCATGAATGTACTATGACTTCAGAAGAATATACATTAATCTGCCATATTGTAGGGAAACAAATCTGGAGCACAAAGTAGAGAGATACACATGTAACACACGTGCATGATATAACATTACCTGAATGTAACAAAATATAATTGTATTTTCTAATGGAACAAAATAGAGTTGTGGGCATTAACACTGTATCTGGGCATGGTACTCAAGATGCTTCTTTATTTTTTGTTCTTATTACATCATGTACACTTCAAAGAGAGGCGCCGACTCTACAACTTTTCAAGCATCAAACTATATAAGAGTAATTACCCGTGCATTTTGCCACTGTTTGTTAGAAATACATCACATCAGAGATGCAGAACCCATTTTCTCTTAGGTCAATAACAAACATTAAACCTTCGAGACGGGATTAGCAATTCCGTGGAACATTAACTTCTCCCACTGGTACAATACACTCTTCAATTTTGATGCTTATTTTAGCAGCATGGTAAATGCCATTTGCTGCTTCAATACACTATATATGCATGGTTATGCAAATCAAAATTGAAAGATGGACTGCTGCAGAAGTGTAGAAAACATGCATGGTGGTGCTGTAAGAGTGAATACTTATTTATGAGATAAATCGTCATATGAGCTGATACTGTATAAATTAGGAAGACAAAATTGAACTATGCACCATTGAAAGACAAATTATGAAGTCCACATTTTTGCTGAGACATATAGCAGATTTATATTAGCATTCAACATCTATTCACAGAAGACAAAAAAGGTCAGTCGATTTGCAAAGCACACATCGGCGTTTCTATGATGATCAATTCTCAGGGTAAAACTAACGGTAACATGCCTCTCATTATTATTTTTGTTAGAGAAGAAGTTACATTTGCTACGTACTAAACTTGTTGGGGTTCCAGACCTTGGGTTATCTGAAGTGTGGGTAACTTGTAGAGGTTAACAGCATGGACATCATTCCTATTTGAGGCACGGGCAAAAACTTGTCAGAATGCAAGTATCCAGGTCATGTATCCCGTTGTTTCTGCTTCTGCAATGAATATCAGAGTGTATTGCAGGGCTGAACCTTTGCACGTACTGCATTATTCTGCTGATGATCTAAAACAGTAGGATATGATTAAGTAGCAGTTCGAAATAGGAACAAATTACAGTTGCTCATGATTCATACCTGGCATTGGCAGAGGCTTTGACTCGTCGAATGGGAACTCGGAGCCCTTGAGAACATACTCTGTTCCTTGCGTGAGAAGCAGCAGATCATCCACAGACAGATCATGCCACACGAATCCAGTCTTGTAGCTCCTGCATTGCATCGATGCCTTACGAATAAACACAATATTTGTCGGATAACAGACATGTCTCGAGATTGATGGGTATATGTATGTACATACCTCTTGCAGGACCAGGAATACTTGGCCACCATGCCCTTCCCTCTCAGGGCGTCCAGCCAGCCAATCACATCTGAATAAATTGCAATAATTCATGGTAAGTCATCATCCTACAATAAACTACTGATCAGGCACCAGTTGCAGCTTACTAACTAACCTCGCAGGTAGAGGCCTTGTGGGGAGGCGAGGGTCACCTCCATGAAGTGTGGGTGCTCTAGGTGGTGGCTGCGGCAGAGGTAGTACACCACCGCCGCCCTCATCCCTGGCCCATGCCTCTTGGTCGTTGGTGGCGGCTCCGGCTCCACCCTGACTGCCTTGGTGCGCGTCCTGGACGGGCTGGCGCGCCGCCTCGCCCTCCCCTCCATCGCTCTCCGTGGATCCTCCGACTATAAGGGTGTATGTGTGTGTATGTACAGTCTGATCAACCTACACTGCAGACATTATCAGAAATAGCAGTCAGTGACCAATCAGTCTGATCCTCCTCTGTCTCTCTTATCTATAGTAGAGTGCCCATGCGTTGCCCGTGCGTTGCCACGAACAATACATGTATATATATCAAGTTCACAGAGGCAATAGAACAAATTATCTATAGTTTCCTTGTGCTCTAGATTGTAGGTTCATCACGGGTGCAAGATAAGAGATTAAATTGCTTTGAAAAATATAAATATAGCAAATGAAAAAAAATCAGCCGCTGCCTACCAGACTCAGGTTGGCAGCATACAAACATATATACAGACCATGAATGTACTATGACTTCAGAAGAATATACATTAATCTGCCATATTGTAGGAAAACAAATCTGGAGCACAAATTATAGAGATACACATGTAACACACGTGCATGATATAACATTACCTGAATGTAACAAAATATAATTGTATTTTCTAATGGAACAAAATAGAGCTGTGGGCATTAACACTGTATCTGGGCATGGTACTCAAGATGCTTCTTTATTTTTTGTTCTTATTACATCATGTACACTTCGAAGAGAGGCACCGACTCTACAACTTTTCAAGCATCAAACTATATAAGAGTAATTACCCGTGCATTTTGCCACTGTTTGTTAGAAATACATCACATCAGAGATGCAGAACCCATTTTCTCTTAGGTCAATAACAAACATTAAACCTTCGAGGCGGGATTAGCAATTCCGTGGAACATTAACTTCTCCCACTGGTACAATACACTCTTCAATTTTGATGCTTATTTTAGCAGCATGGTAAATGCCATTTGCTGCTTCAATACACTATATATGCATGGTTATGCAAATCAAAATTGAGAGATGGACTGCTGCAGAAGTGTAAAAAACATGCATGGTGGTGCTGTAAGAGTGAATACTTATTTATGAGATAAATCGTCATATGAGATGATACTGTATAAATTAGGAAGACAAAATTGAACTATGCACCATTGAAAGACAAATTATGAAGTCCACATTTTTGCTGAGACATATAGCAGATTTATATTAGCATTCAACATCTATTCACAGAAGACAAAAAAGGTCAGTCGATTTGCAAAGCACACATCGGCGTTTCTATGATGATCAATTCTCAGGGTAAACTAACTGTAACATGCCTCTCATTATTATTTTTGTTAGAGAAGAAGTTACATTTGCTACGTACTAAACTTGTTGGGGTTCCAGACCTTGGGTTATCTGAAGCGTGGGTAACTTGTAGAGGTTAACAGCATGGACATCATTCCTATTTGAGGCACGGGCAAAAACATGTCAGAATGCAAGTATTCAGGTCATGTGTCCCATTGTTTCTGCTTCTGCAATGAATATGTTGAAAGGTGAGTTACCTGCTAGGTAGAGACTCAGCTCAGTGTCCGCAGCTGAAATCAGTGTATCCTCTTTTTGTCAACCTTCTGTATCTTTGAATTCTTCAAGCTCATGTCATGGTATTTGCTTCAAGGACAACAAACAAATCAGGTATGTGATCCAACAAGAGAAAGGCAATTTAACAAATCCATTCAGAAATTGAGAGGTTGATAGCATTTTACTTATGTGATGATTGTCTCGACCAAAATCCATATATCTTGGAATATGCAGGGCACCAATCAGAACCATATTAAAGCAGTAGACAGAAAGGTGCGCGAAGAAGAAATAAATGCAAGAGCAGAAAAAGGGAAAAGGAAAAGGAAAGTGATGTGTATTGATGACACGACGAACATACGACCTCGACCCCTTATCACCTACAGTGCAACACGGAGGAATGAAGAAACAATTTGTAGTCCCAATACTGGTGCTGGATTCTACATTGTTGAATCTTTAGATGCATTGGTAAGTGGATATATAATGAAACTACAACAATACAAAGCTAAATAGATTTTTATAAAAGGATTAAATAATCAACTAAAGGCATGTCGAAAGATGAAAATTATTTGCATCAGACTCATCGGAATTAGCTTTTGCCATGTAGTTTATGAGCTAGAACTGAGCATTTAGTAATCGATAAAAGCATCAAGCATCATCAACTATAAAACAAACTACATTTTCTAATAAGATGGTACAGGCATGAAACGCCGAAGAAGCAGTCATGAGAAATTTGGACCTTTCTCGAGTTGCCTTTGTGTAAATAGGAGGCATTTTTGTCTATGTAACCCTGAGAGCACAGAACCAAGCATGAGAAATCTGAACCTTCCTTGAGTTTCCTTTGTGTAAACAGGAAAATTGAAATCCTTTGCCACACATCCGAACCTTTCAAGAAGCTGCTATCAGGGTTACACAAAGGCAACAAAAACTACTCTGAAAATTTCATTGATAGCTAGAGATCTTGGTCCTGACAAGCAAAATAGACAGTCATGTTTTTATTTGACAAAAGAATCTAGCATATTTACTTCAGTTTGATTAAACCTCCAACGGAGACTAACAAATGATGGAGGATGCAGCCATCATTGCAAAAGCTTCGCCAGCATCAAAAGTTGGAGCACCCCGCTGAACGGATAAGGTACTCTTATACTACATGCTCACACTGCCAAACACTCCATAAGAATAATAAACAATAACATTCAGATTTATTTCAAATGGTAGAATATTCATTAAATCAAACAAATCAATATTGATTGACGTGATCTCACTCCTGCGCAGTGCTTGCTATGTGTTCATCATCTACTTACGCCTCATTGGCGTTTCACTTCGTGGCTGAGGACTTCGACGATCAAGAGGCGTTTCTTTTGTACTCCCTCCGTTCCTAAATAGAAGTCTTTATATAGATTTCAATATGGACTACTTACGAACCAAAATGAGTGAATCTACTTACGCCTCATTTTTCACCACGAATGTTATTTCATGGTGAAAAATTTGCAAGATGCTAAAACTTTTGATCTAGTTTCACGTCTCAAAATTTCATATTTTTTCGATTTTGTTTTTCATTTTCTTTTGAAATTACTGTTCATGAACGGTGTAGGTGCATCTGGGAGTAGAAAATCCACTCTGTTATATTTTTATATTGCATGGTTTGTTTCATGTCTTGTAAGCTGATCCTACAGCACCATGCACCTTGTATCGTGTTTCTTTTGCCTTTTCTATTTTTCAGGGTGTCATTAATTTAATGTCGGGTCTATGCCTTCTTTCTAAAAAAATCAAGATGTTCATGTAAGCAATGTAGGAGCGATAACCCACCTCTCTTTGCTTCTCTTCTTTTCTCTTGTCCTGTTGCGCGTTGAAAATATTCTTTGACTTCTTCGGAGTGCCATCCGTCCATTCCCAAATTCATGCGCAGACTCATGGCGAAGTTCCACATGGCTTGTTCAGATTCGACCATGCCATGACTTCTCAATTTTCTGACAAGGATTGCTGCAGATCTAAATAGGAAAGGTAACAAAAAATAATCATCAGAGTCATGTTGCACCAAAATCAAACAATTTCTCTATATCTCCGCCACTCAGTCAAAATGTGTGTGCACTAAATTAGAGAGAACATGAGAAACTGTTTGAGCAGCATAAATGGATGATTACTGCGGTTGTGTGCTCTAATTAAGCTAGGTGTTCTGGCATACAGTAATCGAAACGAATGGCACAACCGAACTAACGATGAGCATTATGATGCACATAGATTACAGGTGCCCGAATCTAACCTAGAGATAGAAGCTTGGTGATGCCTTCGGCAAGTTCAACAGGGTCAACCGTGCCGTGACAACAAAGGACACTGAGGGTTGAGGCAATCGTCCACGATGTGATCTTCCTCATCTGGATTGTCGAAGTCTTCTCACCCCCAGCCCTCGGTCGAGTTGCCGTCGATCGGGAGTTCCGAGGATTGAGTGGTTGTGCAGATCAAATCGGCGGCCATCATGACCTGCGGCGCTCAGCAAGGAGCTATGCGGGGCGGCACCATGGGAGCCACACGAGCGACATGGCGAGGTTGGGGCGCTCCTTGGCCGCGGGAGGCGAGCAGGGAGAGACAGAAGAGCGGCGGCGTGGTGGCGTGCTTCAATGACGGCGAGTCCCCGACAGCGGCAGGGTGCCCCTCCGATAGAGACGCAGTGCGGTCGATGGTGGGAAGGCGTGACCAGATCGACCTCTCGCGCAGCCGGCCGCCACCGCTCGCGGACAGAGAGAGATGTGAGAGGGATGGGACTTCCATGGGAGAGAAGAGAGGATGCGTTGACCTGTGGAGCTCGCCGTCGAATGCGTCATGTGTGCCGCCGCCACAAGGGAGAGAGGTCATGGAGGAGACCGCGCGGGCGCGAGCGCCGTTGCGATGCGTGAGTTGTGGGAAAAGACCGGAGCGATGCAGGGCGTGGCGGCGCGGGATCCGGCAGGTGGTCGGACGGGTGTGGCTGGAGGTGGGGGGAGGGAAGGGAAGGAGGAGGCCGAGCCGAGCGGTGGCAGCGCAACCTCTACGAACCCTAGGCGTGAGAGGGGATCGAGCGCATAGGAGAGGGAGAAGAGGAGCGTCTCGTGGGTGCGGGATGAACGATAAAAAAAATCGGTGGGAGACAGAGAGGCGAGACGGAAAATAACTCGATGAAAAATAACCAACGAAATTAAACCGGACGAAGGTGGAGGTGGGGAATCAGTGGGATGCGGGAGGTGAGATTGAGGACGAAAAAAAATCGAACGAAAATGATGGGACGAAAATAAAACCCGAAACGCGACCTATCAACCGAGATATTAGGAGTTTAGATTAGGAGTTTAGATGACGCCGACGTCGCGGCGTCTCGGCTCCACCCATGTGCCGACGAGCGCCTCCCGCCGCGGTTCCACGCCTGCCTGCCACGCCACGGCCTCCTCCTCCTCCTCCTCCCCTTCCACTGGAAAGCCCTCACACGAGCCTACGTACGCCTCGGCTCTCCCCGCGCTGCGCTCTACGTGGCGATCCACATGTTCCGCCACGGCGCGCACCCCAATCGCTGCACCTTCCCGCTCGCACTCAAGCGGCAGCCCAGGTCGCGCCCCCCACCTCCAGCTTGCGCTGCCAGCTCCACGATGCCGCCTGCAAGCGCGGCCTCGCGCGTCATCCCTTCACCGAGAGCGCTCTCATCAGCTGCTACGCCAAGGCTGGCGACCTGGATGCCGCCCGCAGGGTGTTCGACGAAAATCCTCACCGGGGACTCGGTTCATGGAACGCCATCATAAGCGGCCTCAGAGACCTTCCAGGGAGGGTATAAGGGAGAATTCCTCTCAAGGATGTGTCGTCGTGGACAACCATAATTACAGGACTTGCAACATGGTGAGGAGCAGCATGCACTAATCATGTTTGATGAAATGAGGAGTGACCGGTGCCACCAAACAGTGTGACGATGTTGGCAGTGCTCTCTGCTTGCTCAAACAGGGAGCCGGTAGATGCTGGGATGGGCTTGCTGAAGCAAATGGAATATGGGAAGATTAAGGTAGTACCAACTGTTGAACACTACAGGTGTGTGGTTGATATGCTTGGTAGAGTTGGTTTGGTGGATGAGGAGCGTGCCTTGGTGGAGCACAGAATGCTGACGGAGGCAAATGTGGTGATATGGGGAACATTGCTTGGTGCATGTGAGAAGCGCTGCAATGTGAATGTTGGCAAGTGGGCGGCGGAGCAACTACTAGCGGCTGTGCCATGGAATGACGGGGTTTAGGTCCAACATATGCGTTGCTACTGGAATCTGGGGTGAGGTAGAGATGGTGAGGAAGATGATATCGGAGAGAAAGTTACGAAGTTCCCAGGCTGCAGCCTATAGCTCTGTAAAATGGCCGCCATTGAACTACTAAAGGTCTGCTCCTTGCTTCACTCATGCTTGTTCAATACCTAGTTCTCCAATCTCGTTCTTAAAATCATGATGGAAACTCATTTGCAGATACGGTCGTTGCCGTAGTTTCTCGACGACTGTTTTGATCGCTTCGCTTTTTCTTTTTTTCATTTTCCTTGCTTAGGCACAATTTTGGTCTTGTATGACTTTGCTCTTTGCTGGCGTGTTTCTTTGAGTGTGTGTGTGTGCGTTGGTGTTGTCTATGTGCATCCTAGTTATGAAGAGGCCGGGTATGCACTCATTGTGTTTATATCTCCTGGATGCTTCGTTATGAGTCAATAAAATCCACACTTTGTTAAAAAATCGTTTTCTCTTTGTTGTTTTGACACCCACCGCAGATCTGATGGATGACACATCAAAATTACCAGTCTGATTAAGTAGAATATGACTAGCAGACCAGGCAAGATTGCAGCAAGTTAAGACTCATTGACTAATTCTTTAAATGATCTATTTTAGTTGAGAGACGTTTGGTTTTGTTGTGGGCGAAGAATTATTAAGTTTATACTAGCATGTCAACTTTTTTGACAAGTTATTGCTAGTCCATCCTGTGATAAAGCTTTTAGCAACACTAAAGATCTTCCATGAAAACTGACGCTCACTTCTGCCTTAAAGAACCATACTCCAAATCAGTCTTAAGGTAGGCTTACCTAATGATTTGGACTACCGTATTGTATCCCAAATAACTAACCCATGTGACTGCAAATTTTTAGTCTTACTAATTCTGCCTTCTCCCTTCAGTCCACTGCATTTGGTAGAATATGCAGATTCCCACGAATCTTTGGAGAGAAAAGAAAAGATTCCCACGCAATTGCTTTGTTATTGCAATAACTATAGCACTCAGCACTATTCTTAATGCACAAAATACACATCCTGGTGACACTTGGCGATAACTGCAGTTGTCAGCTAAAATCTTATCCTAGTGATAGGCTAGCAAACAACTTACTGGTCTTGGGTAGCTCGCAAACCGTGCTGCTTTTGTCATAGCATGGTGACAGCAAGTACACAAAAACACTCACGGGTGCATCATATATGCATACAAAACATGGGTTCTCAGCCAGATACATCTTTTTACTAGAATCCTCCAACTCCCCCTTCAGTTGCATCACCATGCTAAAAGGAAGCATAGCCAAAAACTTCTAGGATCACAAAACCACAACCAGGAGCAACAGGAATGGGCTCCTTTGCTAATGGCCAGAATGGTTCGGAGCTTGGCATCCAGATGCCAGCCATGGGGGGCAACGCGGTGCTGGAGTCTCCCACAACATCTGTAGCACCAAGATGTCCACGGCTGGACATGGCCATGGTGGCAACCAGAGCTGCAGCCCTGGTGATGGCGCTCATCTCAATGTCGCTCATGGTCTCCGCCAAGCAACGGGGTAGTCTCATCATCTTCGGCATCGAGATTCCACTGTATGCCAAATGGTCCCTCTCTGATTCGCTGAAGCAAGTCTTTGAACTGTTGTAGTTTGAAATCTGTAAATAATCTCCGTCCAGAATACTGAGTTCTGATGGTGTTGTTCGTAACTTCAGATCCTTGGTTGGGATATCTGCGGCAGCAGCTGCCTACTCCCTGGCACAACTTCTGTCGATTGCATACAAGGCCTTGAAGAAAGTCCCTGTGGTTCCATCCAGGCGCTATGCCTGGATGCTGTTAGCTGGTGATCAGGTATGTTATGGTGATTTTGATCTGATTATGCATTGCCTAGTAATTATCATTGTTATTTGTGCTCTGATGATTTGATTTTATTTTTTAGTCATGTTGTTTCATACTTTATTTCCCTGTTTGTGATGTCTGCATAAAAGTGACAGTTTCCTCTATGTTATGTAATACTCTTATGTATTTTATGGGCGGGTCAGTAGCCAGTACTAGTATAGGCGGTTGGTTGAGTTTGTTCTAAGTTACGACCGAAGAAATCTCATGCTAGCAACTGGCATCTTAGTACACAATTTATTTAGTCTCTTGTCACTAGCTTGCCATGTCTATATATTGGCTACATAAAAATAGTTCCGTTACTTTTTTTTTCTTGAATGTGCATCATTTTGTGTTAGGAGGAATCACCAAAGATGGTGAGAGTCTTTACAAACCAAACAGAAAACTTAAGTTGAAAAAAAAACAATGCAAAGAGAACAACAAACTGGCAAAAGAAGGAATGAAGCGGTAAAAAAGTTTCCTTGCTTGATTTAGATGGAATGTTTGTCACTAGCCATAAAAGACTACAGAAAATGAATCCTTTTTATAGCTTGCAGAGAAATTATTCTGTTTTTTGTGCATGTGAGTGTGCAATGTTGCAAAGTATTCCCATTCTGTCCTTTATCACTGTACACTGATATCACTTTATAAACATATCACTTTTTTGTGCATGTGAGTGTGCATTTTGTCACCTAGTCTTACTAGTCTTATGCATTCGAGAAATACACTGGTATCACTTTATAAACATATTTTAGATAAGTATATTCTGCACTTTTATTAGAAATATGCACAAGCAAAATTGAGTATCATGTACATGCGCGGCGGTATAGGGATTCAATTGTGCTAAATATACAATAAAAGTCCATAAGGGCTGTTTGTTTTTTCTTCAAAATATTGAGAATTAAACTCCACAGTGGCAGGCAACTAGGTGAAGAGCAAAGGCAAATCATATTTGAGCAAACTAATGTTTGTACAGAAAAACTTTTTCTGAATTTTCTGTTACATAGTTGGTACGGCGTTTCTTCACTGGCCCTCGCAGGAGTTGATACATGGTAAATGCACATCTTGTTTTTTCGGCATTGATATTGGAGTACAAAGGTAATTCGGCATTGTTTTCTCATGCTATCTATAAGATGAAGAATGATTTATAATAGCCATAGATTAAATCTCAGCAAACAAACTACCAATTAATTCATTACCGAATCCTTAGTAGCATCTTGCATATGATTATTTTCGCACTCCTCCCAGTCAAAATTAATGCTGCTTAAAAGACACATTTATCTGTTTCTTTTGAGCACTGATGCATTCGCGATGCCGTTTGACGTCACATTGAAGTGATTGAAGAGATTTGAAAGTATACCACATAAAAAATAGTCACTGAATCATTCCAGTAACCCCCTATCAATGGGAGGCCCAGGAGACCAGGACTTGATGCAAAGCTTTCTGTACGATGTTTGTCCTTAAGCGCCTTCAGTAGCTCATGACACTCTGTTAGCTTTGACAAATAACATCTGAACATATTGAACTCTGCTAGTGTCTGACATTGCAATGGAACTGAAGAATAATACGGCTGGTGCATCGTGGCAGGTCTTTGCGTATGCGATGCTGAGCGCGGGATCAGCAGCAGCGGCGGTCGCAAATTTGAACCGCACCGGAATCCGGCACACGGCGCTTCCCAACTTCTGCAAGCCTTTGCCACGTTTCTGCGACTTATCGGCAGCCTCGATCGCGTGTGCCTTTCTCAGCTGCGCCTTCCTTGCGGCATCCGCCGTAATCGATGTTATCTGGCTGTCAAATCTGTGAAAATATGATATAAGTACTACTCCCTCCACTCCGATTTACTCGTCGTGGTTTTAGTTCTGCACTAAAACCACGACGAGTAAATCGGAACGGAGGGAGTAGATGGTGGCAAACTAGTACACTCCTTCGCAGGGTGCTGTGCCTTTAGGATGATGCACCGAACCTGAACCTGTAAAGTGTCCTGAAGTCATGTGAGTTGGCTGCTTGTGCAAATTGGAGCCCCCTCGGCGAAATGGAAGGATGTTGATTTGCAGTGTTGCGAGTGTTCGTTTTTGGAACAGTGATTTGAGTTTTCTCTCCGAGCAATGCTACACCTAGGTAAAGTTACGTACAGATTTTACGTAATAGGCAATGTGTAGGACTGCGATTGGATGGATGGATGTGGCAGGGGCCCACACGGGTGAAAATCAGGGGGGGCGATAGATTTGTTAGGCAGGTTACGTAACTCTTAGTAGGTTGGTTTCGTAGGTGTAGTATTATTGTTTCTCTCCAGGATGCTCTGATCATATGCAGAGTTTGAAATGGTTGCCGCTTCAGTTCAGTAAAAACATTGACAATTCCACGCGCCCCCCAAAAAAGAAAGTTAACACTGACACTTGTCTACGTTGACAGTAGTGAGTACACATGGACACTTGTCTACATCGCACTCCCAATCACACACGCACCTACCTCTTCCTAAATTCCAACCACTTAATGACGCTTATCATCATGGCATCAGCAGCCATATCTGTATCTGCAGTGACGCAGCGGCAGCTAGGCGCGCGACACGCCCAAACCGATACTCATCAGGATAGCTCCGGAGAAAAAACGAAGACGACGACACAGGCGAGCCCGAAGATATCGGCACGCTCGCGCGCACGCACGCAACTCACTTTGCCGTTTCGGTTCATTCACTCGAGTGAGTCGACTCCTTTATCGTCTTCCCCTCCTCTCCACGAGCTTCCTTTTCAACCGCCACATTCCTCTCGCGGGTGATTCTTCCACCTGTACTCTACCTCCCGCTCCTCACCCGCCGTCTCCTCCACTCCACCGCAGATGCCGCCCAAGGTGTCCGCTGTCGCCGCCGGCGAGGCCCACACGCTCGCACTCACCGGTAAGGAGCCTCCCGCTTGACCACTTTAGTCACGTCACGCGGATGCTTCCGGGCACCGCCGGAATTCGGGATCTGAGAGGTGGTTTTGCTCGTGGCTTGCAGGTAACGGGGAGCTCTACTCATGGGGGCGGGGGACGTTCGGCCGCCTTGGCACCGGTCGCGAGGCGGACGTGCACGTGCCCACCGTCGCTGCTCCTGCTGCGGGGAGGCAGCGGCCCAGGTTCACCGCCGTCGCCGCCGGCGCGT